TCATACATCTCGATGTCGATATGATCAATCAAAGGGTTTTTCAACATTAAAACTACCTTTTCCAATGGATTTTTGAGGTGCATCTGTAGCTCTACATTATAAGGTTGCAACCTTATATAAACTTTTTCCTGTTTTTTTTTATACATTTCATTTTTTTTTTGAATGATATATTATATATTTATTTTTAATGTTAAGAAAAAGAGAACCATGGACAGTGGAAGGAGTGTGCAAATATTTTTTCAAATTTTTATTGCCATAGCAGGATCGCTAATCCATATCATTCATCAATCTAAACTGGTTTTTTGGTGGTGCGATCGGGGTCACAGAACCTTATTTTAAAGAGCAATGATCTAATGCAACGGTTGTATCATAGTATAATGCAACGACACTTCTAGAAAACTATGTTTGTGTATTTGTATAACCCTAAATTTTGCACACACACTCTCTTCATCTCAAAATCAATCCCCCAAAAAAAAAAATTCAATTTGAACCCTAGATATGGTCAAAACGAGTCCCCTCCAAAAACAAATCTAGACCATTCATTTTGTGAATTTCAAGATCTTAGCCTTAATAAACTCAAAATCGTTTTTTTTTTTAACATTGTCATCTAATGATAATAAAGCCATCCCAAAAATTGGAAATAAAAATTCTTCTTAGACTTAGATCTAAGCATCTCACCAAAATGAACGGTCTATATTAATTGGGCTAAAAAAATACTTTCGGATTGGGGTGAGGGAGAGATGAAAATGATAAGATTTATAAAAAAGATGAAAAAGATTTCGGATTGGGGTGAGGGAGAGATGAAAATGATAAGATTTATAAAAAAGATGAAAATGATAAGATTTATAAAAAAGATGAAAAAGATTTCGGTTTGGGGTGAGGGAGAGATGAAAACGATAAGATTTATAAAAAAGATGAAAAAGATTTTGGATTGGGGTGAGAGAGAGATGAAAACAATAAGATTCATAATTTTTTTTTCGGAGAGATGAAAACGATAAGATTTATAAAAAAGATGAAAAAGATTTCGGATTGGGGTGAGAGATGAAATTATAAGATTTATAAAAAAGATGAAAAAATAGATTTCGGATTGGGGTGAGAGAGATGAAAACGATAAGATTTATAAAAAAGATGAAAAAATAGATTTCGGATTGGGGTGAGAGAGATGAGAATGATAAGATTCATAAAAAAAGATGAAAAATTAGATAAGATTCATAAAAAAGATAAAAAAATAGATTTCGGATTGGGGTGAGAGAGATGAAAATGATAAGATTTATAAAAAAGATAAAAAATTAGATAAGATTTATAAAAAAGATAGAAAAAAACTTTTGGATTGGGGTGAGAGAGGCTTGAACTCTCGACCTCAGGATCACTCGTATAGCTATGAGACCTACGCGCTAGCCAACTGCGCCACCACCCCAGGTGATTAAATGTGTTCTATTTTAATTTAAAGTTTTTAGTATCTCTTTAAATTATTTAACCCCATGGCGTGCTCCCATAGGCTCATACTGTATACTATGGTCCGACAATAAAGCTGCTTGGAAAGATTTTTGGATCTGTAAGTTTGGCTAGAATATAGAGTTACTAAGGGTTTCACTGTTAAAAAAATTTAGACTTCCCCGTCTGGTCTTGATAACTAGGATGTGAACATTGATACACTCTTGCATAAGCATACAATCTTTTGGTCTCATACGGGTGTCATTTTAACTGAACCAATACTTTATTATGGACAATGTATGGTCGTTCTATTATGGTTGAGATGCCCATCCATATGAATGATCATTAAAGCTCTCATTTAACTTTTCTTTTGGTTTGATTTATGACTAATACTAATATGAGATTCAATATTAATATTCACCAAAAAAAGACTCAACATTAATGATTTTCTTACACAGTGAGACATGTCGAAAGCGTCATATATAATGAGGCTCATAGACTTAAAATGGCAGAGTGAGGAGCCTATGATTCAGATCGCACACATATTTTGAGAAAACTAAAAAAGAGGAAGAATCTCTCATAGATAAAATAACCAAGTTTTGATGAAAGCAAACAAGTCTTCAGACTTGTCGAATATTGATCTCACTACAAATAGACACAATATTAATAGAATATATGTAAATGCTCTCCCAATTGAGAAGGAAGTCATTAAAAACGGACACGCAAAGTCCTTTGTTCACCATGACAGAAAACCATAGAGGGCAGACTTGATGATTTTAAGAGGAAGAATAATATTTATTCTCTAAGAGAGGAGGCACGATATAAGTTATTTAGAAGTGAAATTTATTTGAGAGAAATTATTTGAGAATGCGAAAGCTTAGGTCTCAGAAATGCAAACCAAATGCTGACAGAGACACTGATATTGGAATTGAGGATAGTACAACCTCGCCAGAGGGAAAATGACAGAACTTGAGCTCCTCCATCTTCTTAGATTTCTAATGGTTGTATTGCCATTTCTTGAAGCTTTTGATACTTTCTGCTGCTTTATTATTGACTTTACCATATATTGTTTACTTCTTGCTCTCTCATCTAGCAGCTGATGATGTGCATATCCAAAAACTTGGGTCTAAGCTCTGTTTGCTGTACACATCTGCCAAAACTTACAACAATTTTATTTCAATAGTTTTTATACAGAGCGACAAAATAACAATGGCAACTACAACAGGGGAGAGCTTGTATACACAAGCAGCCTAAAGGAAAACATCTCTTTGAGAGCTTGTATACACAAGCAGCCTAAAGGAAAACATCTCTTTCCTCTCTAGACTTAATTAATGAGGAGGGTATTCTCCCAAAACTTACAACAATTTTATTTCAATAGTTTTTATACAGAGCGACAAATAACAATGGCAACTACAACAGGGGAGAGCTTGTATACACAAGCAGCCTAAAGGAAAACATCTCTTTGAGACTTGTATACACAAGCAGCCTAAAGGAAAACATCTCTTTCCTCTCTAGACTTAATTAATGAGGAGGGTATTCCCAATGATTATCACTGTATTTATAAAAATATAAATTTATTCCTTGAGCGACGTTTTTGTCTTCCATTGTCTTATTTGGCATTATTTATAAAAGATCCTTCTACAGTCACTGAACCAGGTTCTTGGGGTGGATGTTCCAATTGTTGCTAAGCATTTACTGTCGTTAACTATAGAATAAGCTTTTCCTAATTTTTGAAGTCATTTTGATAACTACTTCATCTTTTCTTCTGTTTGTTTTGTGCAACAGGGAAAAAGCGGCTCAAAATGCAATGAGCACGATGTCTACAGATAACTTGTCAGCCAAGAAACATAGGGAGGCAAAAAAAAATGTCAAAGGATCATTTCCATGTCTGAGAAGTCAGGGGAGAACTGTGCATATTGGGTACCTGTCAATAACAAGATTTGGGGTCCATGTACACTGCCTTCAAGGTTGGAAGATCATGCAATGAAATGGGCAAGCATCTAAAGAACCAGAAAACACATTAACTGGGGTAAAAGTTCTCTCTCTCACTGCATCACTTGAGTTTCAGGCTCTTTGGCATTCTAGTTATGAAGGATTTACCGTTAAATGGGAGAATTTGGCATTGGGATTGGTGTTAATTTTGGAACTCTATCAGTCATGGAGTCGCAATTATTCATGGTCAAAAGCGATTGGGAATCAAATGCAACGGGTGAGGTGGAATACAATCGAAGTGACGAGGACTTCAGTGACTCGGATCCTTATCAAAGATGCTGATTGATTCCGAAGACAGAATCACACTTGCACAGTGTGTTGAGAGATAAACAAAACAATGCATTAATGATAAAGCAAGAAACCGTGATAAAAGGTGGGCTTGAAGTTCTTCTAGAGTTTTGGTTAATTTATGGGTAATACACAAGATTCTGAGAGTCAAGGTGTTCTTCTTCCCAAGGCTTGGAGCCATGAACACTATGTTGCTTCTTGTTCTACCGGGTAAATGTTCTGTTTCTATGTTGAGCTTAGCTAGACCATGTGAACCAAGTGGAAAAACAAAAGCAACTTGAGCAAGATCTTTCTTAATAGATGCTTAGGAATTAAAATTGTTGTCAATAGCAAAATTGATCATTTGCTCGGATTCAAGAGAACATCAATAACCAATGCAGTTTAGATATAAGCAATGCATTTTAGAGATCACGCAATATGAATTTCTTCCAAATGTATGTAAACCAATCAAGCAAGTATATTATGAGACTTTTGGTAGTTGTGGCATTTGAATTAAAGCTGCATCGCAAAAATTCATCAATCGCAGCAATATGTCAAAAATAAAATTTTCTACTTTCTCTTGCGATAGAGAGCTCGAAAAATTGGGATGAGTTCATAGAACTACAGTAGAATGTAAATTCTGGATCGAGACTGTTTAGTTGTGGCATTTGAATGGGATTAGATTCCTTCTCATTTGTCCAAGAAATACTCAATCGCATTCAACAAGCCATGAAAGATAACATCTTAGATAAACTTTTTAAGAAATAACAAGCCATGAAAGGTAACATCTTAGATAAACTTTTTAAGAGACAACAAGCCATGAAAGATAACATCTTAGATAAACTTTTTAAGAAATAACATCTTTACTATGCCTTCCCGAAAACAGCTCAGTCCCGACCAATTCCAACGGATCAAGGTTTAGGAATTAGGAACCAACCAATCCAAATAAAAAATCATTAGGGGTGCATGGGCTATGATTAAATATCAGGAACCAGCCTGCTCCCCTATGACACGATCGGTTCTGACTGTTTGTCATTAACTGAACTGCCATCGCCCCACTTATTTTTATTTTTATTTTTATTAAATTTTTAAATAATTTGGATCGACTATCAGCCGAGCAAAACATAAGAACAACATAAAACCTCAACTCTTCATTCCTCTCATCACAAAACATCACCTGTACATTCTCATTTACTTATGTTTTAGACACACCAAATTCCCCTCTCCAACGGATTCGACCACAAAAAAAAATATAAGGCGAAGAGAGAGAAAGAAATGAGTTTCTCTCTCTATCACTCAATGTCTATTTAAGAGATGGGAATGTTTACGGTTTTGGGCTTGGGGTCTTCTTGCACTTTGCGTTTCCCAACAGTGACAGTGGGCACCCCATCTTTGTAAACTGCCTTCACATCCTCTGGGTTTGCATTTTCAGGGAGAGTAAACTTCCTCAGATATTTGGCCCTCCTCCTCTCCATCCATCTTCTTCGCCTTCGTCTTCTTCCCTGCTATGTGAAGAAACCCATTCTCCACCTTCACAACAGATAAACCACAATCACATCAGTGAGTGTAAGAGACTCGGATAAATGACACACGTAAAGCATCAAAAGTCTTATAAGAATACTAGTCCAAACGGATCAAATGTGAAAAAATTATCACATAAAACATGCAGAAGCGTTCTCAAGGGCTGGGTTTAGAGCCAGGCCATCGTGGCCCAAGGTTAGGGCTGGACAGCGTTTGGGCTAGGTCCGGCCCGGGTCAGCCTGACTTGAGCACTTTTTTCGCTAGTGTTCGTGCCTGGTTTGCTTCTAATCTTAATTGACCCAGCTCGGCTCGCCCTCCCCTAGTCAGCCCGATTTAGGCCGGTCTCAGGATAGCCCTATACGTACTAGGGCTGGGATAATGTCAAGGCTGGTCCCACCCGTCGCCACCTCTAGGGCCTAGCTTGAATATTTTTTGGCTCGGTTCAAACGTCGTTATAATGAATACAAATTCGAGTCAGGACCAACTAAAATCTTTAATTATGAATGGGTCTACAATCCAAAGTCGCAATAAAAGTGGGGGGCATGGCGAAGTACGAGTAGCGAGATTAGTTTTTTTTTATTTTCACTCGAGATTTATCGAAAGGGCCCCGCCCCGCGAGACCATCTTGCGTATCTCCTCTCTTGGGCAAAACACTATTTGGGGAACCTTATAAGAATTGTGAGGTGATTATTTTCGAAAGACAAAATTTGAATTTTAAGTTTTGTGATACTTAGATCTAGTCTTTCAAAAATTGGAAGGTCTTTATTCAATTTTGAGGGTTTTTTTTTTTTTTTAATTAAGTACAGAGATCTTATTTATGCAATGTTTTTACTGAGCATAGTCTATGGGAGACTAGTGTATATATATCTTGGGAAAAAGTTTTATAAGGTTGAGGGTCTAAAAAATCAAATTCAGGCACACCTTCAAGTTTACAAAAAAAAGAGGTTGTTTTGATGTCAAAAAAACCCTCAAATCGATCATCTCAACCTCAAGATGTATAGACATAAAAAAAAAATGGATTTTAACTTTGGGAAATAGTGTATCTTGCAATGTGCTATCTGGGCCGTCAATTTTGAATATTTTATAGTGTTTATAGATTTACTTGGTTTACACTATTTTTTGAAGCTTTAGAATTTATAATTAGAGAAAAATATATTTTTTAGGCCATCACAAAGATTTTTGCTATTGAAAAATGATCCTTTGATACTATTTAGAGGTGCTCCTTACTTTGATTGTTTAAGCCAATGGTTTAAAAAACGGATCGGTGACCCGGATCGGGCTTCCAAAAAACCGATCCGGATCGGCGAATCGACGATTTGGATCGGGTGAATCGGTCAGAATAAAGCTTTAAAAAAATTCGAAAAAATTATTAAAATTCATTATAAATATTGTTTTTTAGGAATTCAATAAAAAATGAGGGTACTCCATTAAGAATTTTCATGTTTTTGAATGAATATGCGAATATTGATATGTTCTTTTCCTGCATGAACCGCCATTCAGCATTTAATTTACAGTATTTCGTGCTCATCCCTACACTGTTGCTGTTGGGACTCGATATGTGAATAATATGGCTGGGATAGGGTGGCCTCAGAATCATCATCATTCTCATTTTCTCTTTGAATAATATGAATTAAAAAAAAAAAATAACAAATTTTCAAAAAAATCGATCATGGATTAAAAAAAAAATCACAAATTTTCAAAAAATTCTATCATGGATTACAAAAAAAAATTCGATCATGGATTAAAAAAAAAAAATCACAAATTTTCAAAAAATTCAATGATGGATTACATAAAATTCGATCATGGATTACAAAAAAAAACAAACAAGAAAAAACAAAAAATTCAATAATGGATTACA